CGGCCGCCGGCGGGGCTTTGCCCGGGGCTGAGCGTTTCCCATCCCTCGGTCGAAGCGGCGTTCGCGTGGGGTGCCGCTTCCCGGCGCGAACTCTGTTATTGCTCCCCGAGGCGGGGGAGCAGCCCCCGCCAGCCGGCGGGAGGGCGCTTTCGAAAGAATAAATAAACTAGCTTTTCACGTCTCGGGAAGGTCTGAGCTCCCCCCGCAAGTGGGCGAGGTTGTCTGCTGCCGCTTTCGTGCCTTATGGTTTAGCGTACGAGAGCGGGCTGGGGTCGGGGACGGCGGCGGGGAGAAGGGCTCCGTCCTCCTCTGTTCCTGATGGAGTATTTTAAGCCCATCGTCCATGTTTAAAAGCAAACTTTGTTTTCATTGGTCGGGGCCGGCTTGTATAAACCATAAGTAAACAAAAACAGAGTCCTAAAACCGATAGGGTTTTAGATGGAGCTGCCAGTATGCAACGAAATTAAATAAGTTATTTACTCATGTTTGGAAAAGTTTCTGTCTTTTTTTTTTTTTTTTTTTTTCAGATATCATGTAACCTTCAAATTTGTTGTGAGCAGAGATCAGGCACTTCAGCAAATCTAAATTTAGGTCTTGAATCAATCCTCAGCAGTAGCATCCTCGCATCTGTAATTGCTCTTCTTCTTCTTGGGAATAAAAATTCCTCATTAAAATAAGATGTTCTTGAATTTAGACCACTACTTTATGCGAATCCCTGCATGTTTTCTTACCATATGACTGTTTGTCATTCTTTGGCTTTTGTTTGCCCCTTGTGTTGTTTTTTGTTGGTTTTTTTTTTTCCCCCAAAGGTGTACTTGAAAGCTTACAAATCAATTTTTCGTCTTGCTGTTTTTCCATTTAAATACAGAATTATTATATTTTACAGTTTTACTAGGAAACTTAATGAAAGAAAATGTGTTTAAATAGCTGCTGTTACAACCAGAAGAACTATGAATTGTTTTGGTCCATATATGGAGAGGCATGAAAAAGCTGTTCCTCTCTTTGTTAGAATCTGAAAAGCAGTATCATCATTCATAGTATCATGCTGAAATATTTTATATGCCAACGTAATAGGCAGAATATCGCTTTTGACCTCAGTTGAGCTGAAATGTTGAGGCTCTGGTTCTGAGAATACATAGGTTGTTTCCATAATATTTTAACTTTAAGTAGTGATTTATTTAGTTTTTTGTCAATAGAGTGGAAGGTGAAGGGAGCACCTGATGTTTTTTGGTTTGTTGGTTTTTTTTCTTTTGTTTTTGTTTTTTTTTTTTTATTCAACACCATATTGAAGCCTTTTAGGAATGAACCATTGTCTTGTTCTGTGTTTGTGTGGAGGTTTAATATATATTTTTAGAATATATTAAATATATTGGAGTACTGATAGAGAGTAGGCAGCGTTCTTCTGAATGAACCTGTGCTCTAGAACAAAAAGCATGTGCCTGACCTGTGTATCTCTGAAAGCTTTGTATTTACTTAAATCTGGCTCGTTACTATAACAGCTAACAACGTTTAAAACTTGCTGTGTTACACTGAACCGGTGGTTGTGCAGATACTTGCATGTGAAACAGTTTGTTACTAAAATAAACACAGGCATAAGGGCTTTCAGGATCGGGACCGAGTTCGAATAAAGGGGAAGGAGCGCTTGCAAATACTGCTATCAATTGCAAAAACTGCAGTTGGCAGATTTACCTGTAAGTGTATCGTTTGGATGAGATCCAGTGAACTTTTACAATCAGTGACCTCTGGCAGCATGTTGGCTAATTCGGAGACGGAGAAGGGGTAGTTTTAATACGTGTGATAGACGGCGTGTCTCTGCCAGCAGTAGGGTTACTGGAGTACGCTGGAGGTACTTGATTATCAGTGTTTCTGCGGTGAGCTTTTGCAGATGGTTTGTTGCTGAGATACCCGGATGGATGTTGAAAAGAAAGTTGAGTTTGCTCTGTGCGTTTGCTGCTGCTGGGACCGAAGGGCAGCCCGAGGCTGACGCCAGGTGTATCACTGGGTGTATATTTAGGCACGCTGTACTTCTTAGGAGCCCGCTGTTTTGGGAATTGTAGGCTGTCTTCAGCAGTGCGGAAGGGCCTGCATTTCTACAGCGAAGCAGGAAGAAGCAGATATTTTTGTTTGTGGAAATACAGCCCTCGGGTGCTCCATCTGTTTATGTCACGGGAGCAGAGACCGCTCCTTGGGCTGTCCATGCAGAAGTGGAGGGCTTTGAGGTAGTCGCCACCGGCAGGAGGATTCCTGCTTACATTTCCAGGCTACGGGTGCGGGAAGAAATACGGTTGCTGCCAAATCACTGAAACTTTGCCAGAGATCTGCATCCTCAGCCCCGCTTTCGTGTTTTCCTCAGATTCTGTTAATTGACCGACTTAGGCCCCAGTGTAGCAAAGCACTTCAATGGAGGTGTGCACAGGCTTCAAAATGGGCATGGCTAATTTTGTTAATTCTTTGAACCAAGTTAATTCTTCAAATCACAAACAGTGTTCATATTGCAGTTTAGCTAAATGAGTAAACCTCTTTTTTTTTTTTTTTTTTTTAAATCACCAAATGATGAATCTCTAATCAAATGAAGTGGTGGCCTTTTAGATCTTATCAAGGATCGCTTCTGTCGTTAATGTACGAACCTAAAAAGAGGGTCGAAGGGAAGGTGTTTGCGTGACAGTCTTTTTCCTGTCTCCATGTCTACAGCGATCTTAGCTGGATTTACAGAGCTGTTCCTTGAGTCCTCCAGAGAGGCATCCCTATTTTAACATCAGTTATTGGTGTGTAAATAATTTTTTGCTGAGAATAACGTTCAAGCACTGTCAAATAGCTTCTCCCATCTGGAATTTCCAATTGCAGAGGGGTTCGCATGAAAACAAGTTATCTGTTTTATGAGAACCCAGTTATCCCCATTCAGTCTTAGTGGCTGAGCAAACCCTGCCTGGGTTCTCCTCCTCTGCAGAGGAGCGTGAGGGTTATTTGACCTCCATTCCCTGTTTTTAATTTGGATGTGTTTGCAGTTTTCCTTCCAGCCCTAGCGAAGGGGCCGGTGCTTGCTCAGGGGTGAGGCGCTCGCTCCTTGCGAGGACGCGCTGCTGCGGTGCCCTGCAGCCTGCCGCGGGTATGGCGCTGCTGCTGGGCGGGCTGCTTGGACGTGCTCTGACAAGGGGCTCAAGTGCAAGTGGCTTTTTCGATGCGTAATTAAACGTTTGGCCGTTGCTTTAAAGAAATTGTGTCAAGTTTTGGGAGCAGTCAGTGGAATTTGATTAGGTGTTGCATGAAATTTTTGTTGTGTAATGAGATATTTAAAAACTCTTCTACATTTCTTCTTCCTCCTTCCTTCCTTTCATGATGGTGTGTTTCATTTTATTCCCCACAAATCAGGGGATGCTTTTGTCTTAATTATAGGATGAAGCTGGTAAGGACAGTCCTTTCTGGAGTGTTTTTGTGCAAGACATATCCTCACCTTTATTTTGTATCTAAATCTAGAAGTGAACCTATGTGGGGGGTTTTGTAGCCATTTAAGCTATACATTATAGTAAAACCAGGGGCTATTTCTTCATTGGCATAAGTAAACTGTGGAAATCCTACATAGCAACTTTCCAAACCAATTGTACCTGAACTTAGCTGAACAAAAAGCAGCCATTTCTGTCCAAGTATGCGTGACCTTTCCGCAGGGCTATCTCACTGCCATCTATCTAAATTACACGGTGTTAAAAATACAGCTAAGTAAGCCTGACTCTTTATGAATTATGTGCACATTCTGCTTTGGCAGGCTGAAATCTAATTTTATGATCACATCAACTTACATTTTGTCCTTTCGGATGAGGTCTAGTGCAAATGTCATACGACAGCATATGTGTTCATCTGTCAAAAGCAGAACGATATTCTAAACATTTGTCTTTCCCTCTCTTTTTGCCTCTCTTTCTGGGAACAGATTTAATAGAAAATGTTTACATAGCTTCGAGAAGCAGGAAGGAGCCAAAGTTCCCCCAGGCCAGCGAGGTCCCCGAGCACAGGCTGCAGGTGAACAACATTACTGTTTCTAAGAAACGCAGCTGGCTGCAGCAGAGCACACACCGAACTCCTCCTCCTCCTCTGGAAGAAGAAAACACCTGTAAGGAAACGCACGGAGCTGTTATCCCAATACCCAAATCTCCCATCCTGCTGCCTGAAACTGCAGTGCCACGGGCGCCTTCCACATTACCGGTGGGGCGGGAGCGCCCCGCGCGAAGCTGCGCTCCTGTCGGAGCCCTGCCAAGCGCCGAAAGCCCTGCCGTGCCAAGGAGCGCTGCTGTGGACTTCAGTGAGGATAACGATGCAGATGATGAAGGAGAAATATGGTACAACCCGATCCCTGAAGATGATGAGCCTGACTTGCCGAGGGTCTGCCCTTCTTCTGTGAATAGCCCTGTTGCCGAGGGCTCCCTGGCGGTACGGTACAAACCCCGCCCTGGGGGTGACTCGGGGACGGCCACGGTTCCCCATGAGGGTCCCCCACGCTCCATGGAGAGCACGGGGGACAATCGGATGGCTCAGCCCAGCGAAGCGAGTCAGGCCGATGTTGTGCATCCTGGGGAGCACATGCAGCAGCACCGGCAGAGGTTTGCCTGCAAGGTTCCCAGCGTGCCAGCAGTAGAGGACAATCCCGCCTTTAAGTGCCCTTCAACAGGTAAGAGGGTTCAGGAACATAGAATCATAGAATTGTTTATGTTGGAAAAGACCTTTAAGATCATCAAGTCCAACCGTTAACCTAGCATTCCCAAGCCCACCACTAGACCATGTCCCTAACCACCACAGCTACCTGTCTTTTAAATACCTCCAGGGATGGGGACTCCACCACTTCCCTGGGCAGCCTGTTCCAGGGCCTGACAGCCCTTTTGGTGAAGAAGTTTTTCCTAATATCCAGCCTAAACCTCCCCTGGTACAACTTGAGGCTGTCTCCTCTTGTGCTATTGCTTGTTACTTGGCAGAAGAGACCGACCCCCACCTGGCTACAGCCTCCTTTCAGGTAGTTGTAGAGAGCAATGAGGTCTGCCCTCAACCTCCTCTTCTCCAGGCTAAACAACCCCACTTCCCTCAGCTGCTCCTCATAAGACATAATGTTATGGCCTCTGTTTTCTTTTAGAGGAATAATAAACCCTTCTTATATGTATCTTTTTTCTCTTTCTCCTCCTTTTATCTTTATCAAGCAAATTTCCAGTGGAAATGCATGTCAAGTTCGTAAAAAATGACTCGAATTGTGAGACTGATTCCTACTAAATGGAGAGCTGCACAGTGATTTCTCAGTCAGTTTGTTCATGTCATGTCCAGGTGTGGTTGTCCTCTGTGCTCTTTGGCCTCCACCTCGCTGAAGACACAGGTTTTACAAAGCGAGCTTGCTAAAGCCTGGTAATGTGAGGGCACACTGGCTTTCCTTTGTTAACTACTGTCTAACCCTGGCCTTGGATTCCAGCCTCGAAGCTACTTGTTGTCTGCAGGAGTTTCTTTAACTTGCTGTCTGGGACTTTTTAATAAAGACTTTTTGGAACACCATATAAACACTATTCATCACGTCGCTTTCTGTAATTGCTGTCTTGTTGACTGTCTCAGACTAATCTAATAGACTGGAGAGGAGTGGTTTTCGCTTTCAGAAGCCAGCCTCTTTGTTCCTTGTTATCTTTGGCTGAGTGTTTGATAGTCTCATTTCCATAATTCCATTAGTGTGTGAATTCAGCATCTCGTTAAAGATTTTTCCCAGTCTATTAAAAAAAAAAAACAAAACCCAAACAAAAATAAAACCACACCAAACAAAAGTAAGCAGAAAGGCCCCCCCAACCCTTTCCAAAAAGGTATTATTTTTAATTGCTGATGTGTCTTACATTATCTTGACCTTAACTCTACTATCCTGTTGAGAGTTAGAAACGTAGTGTAAAGTTCAGGAGACAGGGAATTCCAGGTTCCCCTCTGTGGAGAAAGTTCATGCTTTCTTTGCACTGACACTTAAGAGCCTGTGTTTCTGCCCGGCTCGGCAGAGAGGACCTGAAACACCGATATCAGAGCCCAGGTAAGCATTGCCCTCCGGAGGAGACCCCAGTCCGGGTTGCCCCCGTCCGGCCTTGCCATCCCAGCAGGCTTCTGGCCCTGCGTTCCCAGGAGCTGCTGTGCCTGGATTCCCAGTACGGAGATTGCTTCTGGGAACAGGGCTTGTTTTCAAAGGCACCAAAGCAACTGCTGTAAACAGCAGAAGAAAAAACACTTGGTCTCCTCTTCTGGGAGCTCACATTTTGTTCTTTTTTTGTGGAAATGCTGCAGATACAAGCGTATTTTTAGTTGCAAAGTGTGTTAAAGTTATCAGGCATTTATTTAGAAATAGCTCACTTTATAGCTGCACTAAATACTTAGACCAGTTATATTTGCTTGCAAGATAGATGAAATTTTTTTTTTTTTGGTAATCATTGGGGCTCTAGGCACTTGGAGAGGTCAGTAAGCAAGGTTATTTAGGAAAGCCACGTGTGTGTCCTGCAAACTGTTTGACCCCCGTTTAGGCAGTTAATCTCAATATATAAGTAAGTGGCTCTTTTTAAAAAAAAAAAATCCCTTTATGTAAGAAGAAAAAAGTCAAAATTGTTTTCATACTGAAGAAACATTTATTTCTGAAAGCAAAGTTGCCCATTTTAACTGTCTCATGAAACCAGGAGAAAAGTGTTACGAATTTTCCTGGATTGGTTTGTTATGCATTGAGTTAATTAAGGTGCATTAAATGCAGCTCTCCTTTTGCATGTATTGAATAATGATCACATTGAATAGATTAATTGATGATGAAGTGGATCCCTGCTGCTCAGTAATTGGCTTTATTATGGAGAAGTGGCTTAGTTGTTCTTTTTAATCCAGTTAAGGTGTCTACAGTTAGTTTCAGTCAAATTTAAAATGGCAGCTCATCCATACAAAATTACTGCATGAAGGGCAACATGGCCAATTTAACTTTATTTGTGTTAAGACCTTGTTTGAATTATACAAGTGCTCTGAAATAGATGTCTATGTTCTCAGAGAGCTGGGTACATTAAGCAGTAACTCCTGACAAATAAGCAATTACTGCTTTGCAGAAAAGTCCGCTTGCTTACCTTTCTTATTGGTGTGATTTTATATATGTCAATATTGGTTAGCATTAGAGTCTAAAGTATTAGATTTTTGAGAAGCATAGGCAGAAAAAAGTGGGGCACTATAAAAGCCAACAAAATATATAGTTGTTCATTTTGTCATTTGCTGTTTTCTTTGGATAATGGAATCAAGTTTACCTTGAAAACTTTAAACATTACTGACTTATTTGGATTTCCAACTTTGTACAGAGAAAATGGTTGTGGATTTTTTCCTTTTTGCTGTTTTTTTGAGAGTCTTTATTAGACATAAGGTTAAGAAAAGATAAATTATAGGATTCAGTTATTGGGAGTCTTTCCAAACACAGCAGCAAATAGATATTTCCTGTAAATGTTATCAATAAAATGGATGATAGTTGTAGAGGTGCTAATTTGCCCCGTAGTCTTAATTTACACCATTAGTTCCTGGTGTTAATCTGGTTACTTTCTACAGTAGATGCCATTTATATTAATAGGATTTGTTAGGTAATTCCTTAGTGAATAATTCTAGCCATGCTGGCTTTTAAAAAGAAACTGATCAAAAATAAGGCACCCCTATAGCAGAGCTTGGGAAAATAATTCATGTGTTTTGTTTATAACAAGTACACAAAAGGTAAGAATAAGAAGATAGCTTGGTTCCGAGTTAGTAATGTGGAAACACAGTGCCAGCTCATGCTCTTAGGTCTGTGGGAGAAGAGTTTAAGTGGAAAGGACCCTGGAGGTTGTTTTTAATTTGATTTCTCCTTGCACAGGCAAAATGCTTATGATTGGAAAATAGGAATATTTTTTGTTATAAATGCAATATGAAAAATTCTCTATATAGTTTTTTGCATATATGAAATGAAGTAAATTTTCTTTACAACTGTTTAGGATTGAACTCTGACTGTATGTTTTTATAGATGTGTGTATCACCTGCAAAATGTTGAAGAAAAACACCCCTTTATAATGTCAGCTCCTGCGATAGATTTACATTGTGGAGCTCTGAATAGTGCCTTCTGAAGAATTTGTAGTATTTTTGCTTTTGGGGAGGATTACTGTTGGGATTAGTGTCCACCTAATCAGTGGAATCGTTTCACATGTGTTTGTATCTCGGAGACACCGTGATAGGACTTGCGCCTTGTAGATTGCCAGGATCTGGACTGTGCTTTTGCTACTGAAAATGTACATGTGTTAGCTGTTTGGATGGAAAATCCTGGTAGGAATCACTGTAAACAGATTTCTTTTCAATGTTGTAGGAAGCGAAGGTTGATACCGATTCCCATTTAACCCTGATACACGCCAGCTGGAGCTTGGCCTAAATCTCACTAAAACTGCAGTGCTCTTTCTCCACTTAGACCGTGACCACTATCCTGGTTTCCAAATACATCTTTTGGGGCCAATACAGGCAAATATTTTGCACGCTTAGATGTTGCAGATAAACTTCCAGCAATATACATGGAGTATACTGGGCAGCAAATGCTATCTACCAATTTCCTTCCACACGTTGACAATACTATTTGCTTAATTTTTAATTTTTTTAATGGATGGAAAATGCTTTGTGATTTAACTGTTTTCCAAGTGCGAGGGGCTTTGGTTTCATGAGGCAGAAGAAACATCCATGTGAAATATTTGCATAATGTTTGAGATACCAAAATGGCTTGGTATGTGGTAGAAAGGTCCCTCTGCTCCCTCTTTCCTCCTGCAGAGCTGAAGCCAGTTTTTTGGTGGGCTTTGGGGGAGTTTGTGCACGTGCTTTTGAAGGCCGAGGCCTTATTCATGCATGTGTTTTTGATCCATGGGATGACAATGACATAAAGACCTGCTGGTTAAAGAGGCAAAAGGGTGTAGCATCTGTGGAGTGGAAGCAGTTAATTTAAAATAGCTATTGCCTTTTCCAGTTTCTGATTTGTACCGAGTAGCTGTTTATATCGTCTGACTGGGGAAGTAGGGGCAAAGCTGCTTTTCGTGCCATGAAAGACACAGCGAGGGGAGGAAATCTTCGCGAGAGCAGCCCAAGCGGACAGTGCTTGGCATCAGCCGCGGCGCTGCCGCTTGCCTCTTGGTGTGACGCCAGCGTCTGAACAGAGCCGACTGTGGTTTATGTGCATCACAGAATCAGTAACGTTTAAAATATCTGCAACAAACTCATGCTTGTTTGTAGGTACTGAACTCTTTAAGTCGGGTCAGAGATCTAAAGTGCTGTTATGCGTGCTTGTTCCTCTCCGTAATGAGGTACTGCTGTCGAGGACGCTCTGAGGACCGCCGCCATGATGAAGAGCAGGCAGTGGTCAGCCCCTTCGCCTCTCATCGTGCAGGCGGCCTCGGGAGGTTACTCTGCAAGCCCTCCCCTTTTTAGTTAATGGACTATTTAAAGCAATTTGTTTTATATCTTTTGCTCCCATAAAAGTGATCCCTGGGTTGATGGGTTTGTCACAGCTCAATTAATGTCAGTATGCATAGTATTTGAAGAAAACAAACTACTGTTACAGAGTTCTTAGAGGTTTTTTTTTTTTTTTGCCTCGTTAATAATTTCTCCATTCCTTGACTCTGAATCATTATGTGGGGTGGAACTCAGAGGCTGCACTGGTCACAATAGTAATTTTTATAGGGGTAAAAAAGACTTTTTTTTTTTTTTTTACATGTTAAGAGGAGATTCTTCCATTTATTTAGATAATTAAGATGTTACATAGAAATAATTCCATTCTATCCCAATTTTTAAAAGTTCTTTTTAGTTTTTTTTTTTTAAGGGTTTTTTCCTAGTTGCTGATGTGGATAGAGATGATGCTTTCCTTATATTTTATTTGAAGTTGCTTGAGTTTGATATAGCATGAGTTCTTCTTTTAATGGCATTTGCACTTCTACTCAAGTTTTCTATCAGAACAGGTCTGGAACTATCTGAGGATGAAAAAGCATAATGAGCCTGTGCCTGAGTAAGTTCACAGCCTCTGACATGAGTAGAGCTGTCCCGTTTCTGTCAGTTGAGGATCCAGTTCAGTATTTCTTGTGGCATCTAGCGCAGAAAAACAATAGCTCTTTTTCACTCACCCATCATTTGCTACAAGAACAATTTTGAGATATTTGGGCTTTTCTGTTTTGATGTATCGCTTTTTCATTTTTAATATATTTTCCCAATAAGTCATTGGGTTGATTTAAAAATAATAAAAGAAAAAGAATGAAAAATCTAGGCAGAAGGGAGACTTTGGTTTTGAAAGTTATAATCTCTCGGTATGAGCTGTATTTTTTTTTTTCTCTTTTTAAAATGAAATGGCTTAGAGCTTCAACACTAATGTCATTATTCTAGACAGATGCTTTCAGTGTTAGATGTAGTGTACTTATTAAGTATGTTGGGAGAACGGTAGGAAAAATTAAATTACCTATCGGCTTTAATTTGATTGGAACTCAACATGTCCCTTAGCTATGAGAGCGGCCATTTGATATTTCCATAGCTTGCTGTAATAAGGAACTGATAGTTTTCTGACATTCACCTCAACTTGTTGTCCCAAAAATAAATTACAGGTTTTCTGATGAACTTTAAAATAGCTCAGAAACCCTCCCTTAAGCGATGAGGAATGTTACGTGTAGAATAGGGTAATCAAATATGCCTGTAAAACAGCATGCGCTGCTGGCAGTCGGTATGACAATGATATATGTGCCCAAGTACATGTAAACAGTGTTAAGCAGGGTCAGACAAGCATTTTTGCTATACTAAATCATTGCCTATGTCTGGCAGAGGCTGTGCTGTAAGAGCTTAAGATAGTTTGAGTCCTCTCTTGCCGTGGGGCATCCCTGCTCGACCGAGGGGACAGTAGCATTGCCCCCCTGTGGCCAGCTGGCAGGGTGGGGTGGGAGAGGGAGGTCTGGGTTTGTGAAGCGCTGTATTCCAGTGGGCTGTTCGTGTCTCTCCAGTTGTGTCTCTTTGGGCATGAAAAGGCTTTATCCTTTCGTGCAGCTGCATCACTGGGCAAAGTAAAAGGTGGCTTTACTAGCCAAGCTGAACGAACAGCTGATGGAAGTCGTCAGTTACAATGTCAAGTCACTTAGACTTGGATTGCATTGGCCTTCAAAAGCTATTTTTTTTTTTTCCTGTCTTACTCATACTGCTGAAGCTTCTGGAAAGCATAAGTATATCATAGAGCGGCCCAGGTTGGAAAGGACCTCGTAAGATCATCTGGTCCACCCTTTGGTGGGAAAGGGAGCCTAGGTGAGATTACCTAGCACAGTGTCCAGTTTCGTCTTGAAAACCTCCAGTGATGGGGACTCTACCATGTCCCTGGGGAGGTTGTTCCAGTGATTGATTGTTCTCACTGTAAAAAATAAATAAATTATACACACACACACACATATATGTGTGCTGCATCACATCAAGCTGACCATCCCCTTGCTGCCTTGGTAGCCATTTATGCAACAGGTGCCTCTTATGTTTCATCTCCTCCTGCCATCCTTCCGTAAGGATAATTTTTAAGGTTTAACTGGTCAGATGAGACGTGTGGTGGCAGAGTGAGTGGGGACAGGGACAGTCGGGAGCCTGTTTGCAGCACAACCGTGTAACTTGGTAAAAGGAACGAGGCACAGCTTGGTTCCTCTGGCACCCTTGTGAGAAAGGCGTATCAGATGGGGAGGCTGGGAAGTGAAGTGTTACCAGACTGCACTACAACTTCTTTTGCAGCTTGTTCAGAGCTGTGTCATGTACACTCTTTAAAATTGCGTGCATACCTCAGCACATTGCTGGCTTTAGTGGAACAACATGTGGCTCAATGCTGATGGGAATACCATCCTGCATAATACTCCACTGTTAAGTTTCTTCCAACCACATATTTCATTTTAACTGTTTGGTGCTGAATGCAGCAGAAGTTGGACACATAAAAGTCAAAGTGTTAGATTGACTCTTCAGTTTTAATGAGCTGGGGGGAAGTTTAGTTTGCTGGCCTGCTTTTCCAAGCCTGTGCCAGAGACTTTTGACAGAAAGGGAAGATTAATGTTAGCGGACTGAAGTATGGCACTGATTGCTCCAGGCCAGCCCACCAGTGGGACCGTGCTGTGATTTGCAGTACAAGGGGAGGCTTTGTCTGCTTTTATCAAACACCACATTTCTAACTAGCTGCTTGCCAGAAAAGCACAGCAGGCGTGCTAGAAATAGCCTTTCCCCTGCGACGGAACTACTTCCATGAGATTCAGGGCTAAATGAATTTTCCCCTGTCGCTCTGGAAAACAGATTCTATGCGTTATTCTTCATAACTGAAACTTTCTTTTATAAAGATACTCTTTTAAGCAACTATCTGCAAAAGTTATTAAAGCCAAACTTCTGTTGGGACTAGAACTAGTCTTTGGGGGGGAGACAGGACACAACCCAAAACCACAACAAATCACTTTGGTCGAAGACCAGATTGCCTGATTTAACTGTTTAAGCTAAGTGAAGTATAAAAAGTAAGTTACAGTTAAATGGTGAAAATTAATTTGGATGAACAGGGGACTTGTAAAAATCACTAGCTGTATGGTGATTTGGACTTGAAGTGATTAGTTTAGAATTAAAGCAGTAAGCCTTTGGGAAATCTGTAAGAGAAACCTGTGTAAAGTATGATTTGCTGAGTATCTCGTGAAAACAACGCTTCTTTCTTTCTTTTTATATGCTGTAAATAGACCTTGCCCTTCCGTGGCTCGCAAGGGGGGATGACCGATGGATATAGGTGTTTGAGTCTCTGTGAGCTGCTTGGGCTGACTGCACCACACAGGGTTAGCGTGCTTAGGGGCTCCATAGTACGCTAAGGTACTATGGCCTTCTGCACAGGCAAGGCTACACGAGTCCTGTTGGGAGCTGCTAAAATTTGGAAAGTGATGAGTGAATGGAGTGGTTATTGCTAGCAAGAACCACTCTTGGTTTCTCAAGGGTTAGAAAAGTGACTCGAAGTGAAAGTACTCGTGTAATTTTATTAATATCTATAATTCTGGCCTCAGTTCCCCTCTTGCATGCTTCATTAACTGGTGTAAATTCATTGCCTTTCCTACAGTCATTACTGCCTCATGCTGGTGAAAGTGAGAAAAGCTTGAGCTATAGCTTGGTATTTGGATTTCCTCGAGTAGTGGAGCATGAGGTGAACCACAGGTTCCTGACTATGTGCAGTACTGGCTTATGTCTGATCGTGTTCCTGAATTAGTTGTATTTTACTGCTAAATTGAGGAAGTTTGTTTTTTTGGTTTTTTGTTTTTTTCCCTTTTTAGCATCCGTGCCTGCTGTTATGATTTTTTGGTACCTTGAAAGGTGGGTGGTTTCCCACAAGGACATCACTTGGGAACCGTATAACTTTAAGCCTTGTCATAGGATGGTTGTGCCAGGAAAGATGGAAAGTTGCTGGCAGGAATGAGGCGATGCAGGATGTGGCTTTTGGAAGGAATAAATCCTTGTGTTCTTCCTCCTCTGTCCTGTGGCAGAAAGAAGGAGCTGAGAGAAATGGAAGAAAAGGTGTGAGACAGGGCCTGTGTCTACACAGGAGGGATTTAGGGCTCTTTGGGTCAACAGAGGGACATGCACAGGAATATAGTCATATTCTTCATAGAGACAAGTGCCTTTCCTCTAGTCCTAAGAGGAGTGGGCAATGCTGATGTGTTGGCTACGTAGCTAACTGCTTCGTAGACAAGGGTGTATTTGCCATATTCCAGTGTTTTCCCATTTAAGACTGGTTTCGTTGCAGCTGTGCCCCAGGAATGCAGGCATGTCTGCTTGTATGGGGGATACAGCACAAATGGATCAAGCTGAATGCAGCGGGTAAGATAGCTCATTTGTTTATATGTAGTTTTTGGCCCTTTCATCTCCATAAAGCAGAACAAATCTGGCTTTTGACTATGAACTGCCAAATTTGGCTGAACGAGTCAGCAGAGCACAGCTTTCTGAATGCTCGTGAACATCTGACTGATGAATGAATGATGGCTGTCTGAATTAATTGTGTTGATCAAATTATGAGAAATTAACATGTTTTCCCCTAGTTCAAGATTTATTTTTTCATTGCTGCGAACTGCAGTTACTGAGCGGTGTGAAAATGATTATTCTTTCTCTTTTCTTCTGAAGGGTCTGGAGTCGTACTTGCACACAAGGCTGATATACCCTCAACAGAGGTTTCTCCTCCAAGTCCCAGTCCTCTGAAAAAAAGCGGATCAATCAACTGGCCTTTCCCTGATAGAATTAAATCTCCCAGGACTGTGAGGAAGCTTTCCATGAAAATGAAAAAGCTGCCAGAGCTGAGCAGGAAACTGAGTGTCAAGGGAACTTCAAGCCATACTAGTTCAGATAACCCTCCTTCCCTGCTGAAAGGTAGCTGCCGGGATACAAGCCATACAGTGTCTCAGGAATGTGATAAGTCGTTACCATCTCGACAGCAGCGTGTCGTCGCAACACACCTACAAAAAGAAAAGCTCGAGGAGCTCCAAATCATTCAACAAAGGTGGTTACCTCAGTGATGGTGACTCTCCCGAACTTATAACAAAATCAGGTAAACATGGGCATGAAACCAAGTGTGGGAAAGGAAAGGAGAGCCTTCCAAGTAACAGTGGTAAAACTGAAATAGATATCGATGCTTTCAGACACTATAACTTTTCTGATCAACCCAAGTGCTCTCAGTACATCTCTGGACTCATGAGCATTCACTTTTATGGTGCTGAAGACTTAAAACCACCAAGAATAGACTCAAAAGATGTCTTTTGTGCAATACAGGTTGACTCAGTAAACAAAGCAAGAACAGCCCTGCTTACATGTAGGACAACATTTCTAGATATGGACCACACATTCAACATAGAAATTGAAAATGCTCAGCACTTAAAGCTGGTGGTGTTCAGCTGGGAACCCACCCCACGGAAAAATCGGGTGTGTTGTCATGGAACCGTGGCTCTTCCCACTCTCTTCCGAGTGACAAAGACACATCAGCTGGCTGTCAAACTGGAACCGAGGGGGCTTATTTACGTCAAGCTGTCGCTCATGGAGCAGTGGGAGAACTCTCTTGATGGTCTCGATGCCGATCGGGAGCCCGTGATGTTCGGGGTAGATGCTCGAAAAGTTGTAGAGAAGGAAAACACGGGCTTGATGGTGCCACTTTTGATGCAGAAATGCATTCTGGAGATTGAAAAGAGAGGCTGTCAGGTACTGTGCATGTTTTAATCTGTTTTGTTAATATTTCTGTGTTGCGATAGCTGTTGCAGAGTGTGAGCAGTGAGTGGGAAAGGGGAAATTAAAAACACCATTACATGTCACTTTTTTTGCTTTACTGTTCCTGTTGTTTGGTGAACAGTAGTCATTGTAAGGTGGGAAGAATAACAGGACTGTGTGAAATCAATGCTTCCAACTTGGCCTTTGTAGAGGGGATGTACGCTTGCTCACAGGCGATGCTCACGGTAGTGCTTTAGGACTAGGGATGGTGAAATGAACCTGCAGCCCCCAGCGTGTAGTCACACTCAAAAAGCAGGGCTGAGATGAAAACTTGAAAATGCCTGATTCCTGAGACACAGATCACTCCCTAAGGATGTATTGTATCTAAATGCAAAAATGAGTATAATGGTTCCTTCTACCTGAAACCGAGGCATCATGTGCAGTGACACAAAGTGATGAGGACAGGTCTTTTAACAAAACTTTACTTACATGTGTGCAGTCTCAAGCCAACATGCCAAAGACTCATGCCATCGCTTTGTGCACAGCTTTAAGATTGTGCTTAGGTGGCCAAGAGGGCCAATGGCATCCTGGCTTGTATCAGGAATAGTGTGACCAGCAGGACCAGGGAGGTGATCGTGCCCCTGTACTCAGCATTGGTGAGGCCACACCTCGAGTACTGTGTTCAGTTTTGGGCCCCTCACTCCAAGAAGGACATCGAGGTGCTGCAGCGTGTCCAGAGAAGGGCAGTGAAGTTGGTGATGGGTCTAGAGCACAAGTCTTGTGAGGAGCGGCTGAGGGAGCTGGGGTTGTTTAGCCTGGAGAAGAGGAGGCTGAGGGGAGACCTTATTGCTCTCTCCAACTACCTGAAAGGAGGCTGTAGCCAGGTGGGGGTCGGTCTCTTCTCCCTATTAATGAGTGATAGGACAAGAGGAAACGGCCTCAAGCTGTGCCAGGGGAGGTTTAGGTTGGATATTAGGAAAAACTTCTTCACGGAAAGGGTGGTCAAGCATTGGAACAGGCTGCCCAGGGAAGTGGTTGAGTCCGCATCCCTGGAGGTATTTAAAGAACGGATAGATGTGCTCGAGGACATGGTATAGACGGACTTGGCAGTGATAGGTTAACGGTTGGACTCGATGATCTTAAGGGTCTTTTCCAACCTTGATGATTCTATGATTCTAAGATGAGGAGGAGACCCTGAGGGGCTGAATTAGTTGTCTCCCCATGCCACTGCTCCTTGCCTTTCTTCAGGTTGTTTTCAAAATTAGGACAGGAGATGAATGCTGTAAGGCAGCGGTGCCCAGTTTCTTCTCTTCATCCTGATACAGCTTATTGGTTGATGTAACCTAATGGACAAAAATATTTTTGAAAAATGAAGTACGGAAACAAATCCCCAGTTACAGATGCTAGACAAGAAGTCTGTTAGGAAGGAAGGCGCACAGCCCTAAGGAGGGGTGTCCCCCTTGGCAGTTAATTTGAAACTGGTGGGAGGACTCTTGCATACTGTTCTGCAGCATGTGTGAGCCTTCAGTTTCTTTTACACCTGTTCTTGCTCAGGTGAAATTGAGAAGTAATCACACCTACCACTGTTACTATTTTAAATTGCTGACAGGTTGGATGTAGTTCCAGGTGTTATGAGATTAACTCTGCTATTTATAACCTGGGTCATAAAATACAGACAGAAATGGTATTTCTATTTAATTACTTTGCTGGAAGTCACTACTGATTAATAACTGTGTGATTATTATTGTGAATGCTTCTCCTAACATTATGCAAATCAGTGGGAAAGAGAAGTTTTATTCTTTCCAGTGTATGTGTCCCATGGTTTCAGCATTTTATTTTGGGCTTATTAGCACCTAGTCATGCAAATGATATTGGGTAATCAAGGCAACACTGGTAATGAAGCGATTGGGATCTGAATTGTCTGAATGTACCTCGTGCTTTTGAGCATGAAATCTAATTTGTGTATTTGCACAGGGAGAACCAAACATGCAAAATATACTGTAAACTTCTTGTTTTAACCACGTGCTTGTCTGACGTTTTTAACTTTCCTATAGACTGCAGACTACTGTCACAGTGTGTCGCCTCCACCTGAATTTCAGGCATGGCGTTAGAAAACTTCAGAGTTTAAAGGAAATTGTCTTAGGCCAATACTAGATCATATTCAGTCTTGGGAAAGAGAGAGGGTACAAATTCCATTGGGTAACTTTCCGTTTATTTAAACAGGAATTAATATACGGCCAGACAGATACTCTTCTTTGAAAACCTGGATTCACATGGTCTAAGTCAGTACAGTCTAAGTCAGGGGGTTTTGGGGTTTTTTTTTTGCCTTTTGAGTCCATGGTAGTTTTGACCTAGGTATTTACTGCTCAGTATACCTGCCTATAAAGTTCATTAAAATAAAGTAAAATTAGTGTATTTATGATTTAGTTCCTTAATATCATAGGATTGCTTTGTATTGATGAAAATGGAAAGTAAATAATGATAAAATGCAAAATTTGAGTGCGTGAAAGCACATGATTGAATTAGTTATTCAGTCCAAGGGTGTTGTGGGTTTCACTTCTATCACCTGGAGCATGTTAACCCCTGCTTTGCATGAAACTTTTAATATAATTTGAAACACGTGCCAAGTCAGCATCTTGTCATCTTTAAAACAGCATCTTATAGATGTAATAATGAGTATTCATAATTCTTTTGAAACCCCAGTATCAAATATAATTTTAAGTTTTGTTTACTATCTAGCTTATTCTGTATTTTGTTGTTTCCTAATTTTGCATGCAAGTGAAGCACTAAATGATTCCAATTTAGAAGTCATGTTCTGTCACTAAAATACTGCTCAGCCTGTTCACTGTTACGGAAAACATTAGCATTATTAGCTTACTGCTTAACAGTCACAACTGTGTCTCTTGTGTAATGTTTGAAAACATACCTTATCATTTGATGTTAGCAGTCTGGCCTGTTTGAGTTTTCTTAAAGTTTATTTCCAAACAATTGCCTGAACATGTTTGTTGCGCTTCCCGGATGAGACCAAGCATAATGTCAATTATTAGTCCCCTCTGAAGGAAAATAACTGATGTGAAGCCGTTGTTTTTGCTCCTAGGTGGTAGGCCTGTATCGGTTATGTGGCTCAGCAGCGGTTAAGAAAGAGCTTCGAGAGGCGTTTGAGAGGGACAGCAAGGCTGTTACCCTCTGTGAAAGCCAGTACCCAGATATTAATGTCATAACAGGTAATATTGCTTTTCTTTTAATATAGAATTATGCCATGTTTGCAATGTACCTTTTAAAAGCTGATAAAAGGGTTTGTTTAAAAGTGGAACAATTCTGTAACTATTCATACTCATTATATAAACCAAAGTTGATCTAATTTAAGGCATCAGTGAGTAAAGATTGCTCTAGGAAATTAGGCAGGAGCATTCATTTCCTACATATCCAGAGATGGAAAATGTAACAACAGTAGCCAGGGTATACATTTTCTGTGCAGAAGCCCTTTCTGTAACACCCAACATCCAGCTGTACGGGACAGTTCTACCCTGTGTGGGGGTTTATTTCACCTCAGTGTATTGAGAATGAATTTTGTTCATTGCACTTCATAATTATACGAAGTGGTGTTAGAAGATATTACTCAGTGACATTTATTGGGGTAAATAAACCTTTTGGTTCAGAATGTCCAGCTAGTCGGTTCACCTTACTTGCCTTGGCTGGTTTCGCTGTCGGGTTCAGTGTTGCTCACAAGTACCAGCGTTCCCAGCAGCAGAAACTGGTCTTTATGTTTCACGCTGATGTGATACACCCTTTATAAAGAGCAGTGGAGAGTAAAAGTAAATGGTATAAAACATCTTTTAAACTGGGTAAATTTCTTCTCTTTACAGATAAATTAATGAGAAAAAGTGGTGATAATTTCTAAGAGCAGATTGTTCCATGAAATTATTGAAGTCCTGTTTTCTTCCTGATTTTGTAAATCAGCTCAGAAGGGGGAAAACAACCCCTCTGTTGCTTTCTGCCAAACAGCAGAAACTGTCTGATATTGGCTTGTAAGCAGACAAATGGCAAACTGCTATTTGGTTAATGTAAACTTTTGGCTAATGGAAAACTTAGGGGTTTTGTTGGTTTTTTTGTTCGTTTTGTTTTGGTTTTTTTAATTTTGGAGTAATAAAAATGGCACTGCCCTCCCATGCTACGAGTAATCATCACAATGAGACAGTATTTGCAGAAACAGTTCAGGAGTATCATGGGAAAGGGTATAGGAACTTAATTCTCATCCATATGCAAAAGAACCTGTAACATTTCATAAGCATTTTGATTTTCCTGAGTACATTGTATACTTGGAACCAACCAGAACTGGCTGAAACTGAAGTCTGAGCTGCAGGAGAGCTCAGTACTGATGCAAAGCCCTGGAAGGGCAGCGATGCAGTCTGATTGATCTTTCCATCACAAGTTCATGATGCAGTGGTTAAATAGAGAAGTGTAATTTTTCAATATGCGTTGCTGAGAGCTTCATTGGTGGTGGTGAAGAACTTCTGGTGATTGCATGGGTCCTGCTGGACCCGTGGTCCTTTTCTGGTTTGTACTACTGAAGGATAATATTTTGCACCCAGAATTTGTATTCTAAGAGTGAAAAGACTACAGCCTTGGTGTCTGTCTTACAGAAAGATTACTGGATATGCTTTTGTATGTGTTATATTCCAAGATTGGACTTACATGCTGCTTTCCTTACAAGGAAAAAATAGTTTTAAGAAATTGCATTAAAAAAAATATATTCTTTCCCCTGGTTCCCTGCAGCTGTGCTGCGTGATTGCTTGTAGTGCCCGTGTTAGAGTTGCATTGAAAGGACTGAGTGCAGGGGTCCTGTGTGCGCTGGGGGGAGCGGGGAGGGAAGGGGTGTTTGCACCCATAAGTGCTGCTGGCTGAACTGCAGCCCGCTCTCTAATTAATTGTAAACAGCGTGGCCTGGGCTGAAAGGGGAACCTGTGATTTTTGCTGACAGACCTGAGGTACCCACCGTGCTTAGGGCTAGGAATAGAAGAGTCCGCAAAACCTCTGGCGTATGCTTAGGGAGCTGAGTTGAGGAGGAATGTTTCACCTGATTACTGCTGTATTTGCAATGCTGAGGCTGATGCACATGATTCCTACTTTTATAAGCCAAAACATGTGTTCCATAAAATATGAATCCTCAGCATAAATCTTGGCTGATTGAAGAGAAGTGCCGCCTTGTATCCTTTTTGAAATTTGAGTAGCGCTGCTTTTCCAAAAGATTAAAAAGATTTTTTTTTTTTTGACAGCTCTCCAAAGACTAAAGAATGAACATTTAATGATTAAATCTTGACTGAGAAATGTTCTTGGGATTGGCACGGCCTTACACACAACTACGTGTGCTTGTGGCTCAAACCGAAGCGTGCAGCCAATTTTTGGAACTGCCCAGTATTCATGTTGTTGCCTTACATCTGTTTGCATCCACGTGAATTCATATCTCTGCATAAAGCATCCAATGCTGTTAACAGTTCAGTGGGTCAGAAAAATGAAGAATTAATGAAGTGGATGGCAATTTCTGCTCGCTGTCTAAATTTGTTGTGTGTGGTTGTGTCAAGGGAATGTGCTAGTGGGCTGGCAGCAGCGGGAAGCATAGATTCATGGGAAAAAAAAAATAACAGCAGCCTCTACAGGGCTAATTTAGCTGAGTGAATAGCAAAAGGATTTAGAAAGGTCAAGGGGCATTCATGGCTCCCAGACTATCCTGTTATTCAGGGTTAAACAGGAGAAAGCCCTTTGGCAGGTGGTAGTCCTATGACTGGATGCTATTACAGGAATTCCTACTAAATGATTATTAATAGACGGTTCTGAGTGTTTCAGCAGTATAAGCTGATTTGATTACGACATGCCATTTCCTACTGTAAGCTGTTTCTGATTTCAGCCTCCCCCCCAAAAAAATAAAAGCACAGCTGAAACAAAGATCCTGATAAAGGTCAGCATCTCTAGCAAGAGATGTTTTGCTTTCGGAAAAAGGATAACATCCCAAACAGAGACGTACAGCACCAGATTGTGCCACATTTGTCTCATAAATATTGTAATCAGTTAATCCAATCATGGAACACAGGCCTCTAAAATGCAGGGGAGAAGAAAAACTTTCTGGGGAGGGGGGAATATGAGTAAGTTATTCAATAAAAGCTAGCCACTTAAGTGGAGCAGTAAAAAAAGTGGCATATTCTTTTTAAAACAAACAAAGAAAAAACCTCAAACCACCAGAGGGAATATGTTTTCAGGAAAAGCAGCAGTGATGCTGCTACGTGCAGTATTGTTTTTAAAATAAAAATATTTGTATGGGTGGAAGCCAACTTTTACTTACATTCTGCATATGAACACGGCTATGAAGGAGAAAGTGTTAACTTTCGTTCCCTGTATTTTTTAGAAACAACCTCATAACAAAGCCCACTGCTATACAGTTCGCTTTACAGCTAGGTTATAAAGATGGAGTTTATAAAAACTGTTGCTTTGTTAAATAGCATGGTGTGATGGTATTTGCTGTGATTTGGGATTTTACAAGGCTATGAGGAGTGCATACTAAAAAAATCTACTTTTCCAACTTCGCTTTTTCAGAGGACAGGCTGCTTTGTTAATTACAGTACTCGCTTTCAAAAAGTTTGGGTTTTTTTTTTTTTTAATCCACCATTTATTCTTAACAAAGTATTTAAATTTAATTGTGATCTAGCTAAAACAGGTAGATATTTGTGGCACAGAATGCATTTTTTTTTTTAAGGAAAGTAAAAGCTGCTGGGAGGCAGGCTTGTTTCCTTCAAAGTTTTCTGTGTCACTTGTACTGGATACCTTGCTCCTGGATGGCATCCTGCTGTGTCCTTTCCAGGGGGCTGCTGTTAGGAGTCTTAATGGTTTGGGGTTTTTTAATTATTATTCTTACAATCACAGAAACCCCACTCAGACTGAAGTGTAAGCTGGCTTTAGAGGCTGGCTGATAGGAATGCAAACGCTCAATTCCTTCCTGTTTGTTTGCATCTGTGGAAGGAACAGGGGTTAATGAGGCGCTTGCCTGGTTGTGGCATCCCCTAGAAACAACCTCTCCTCCAGCCCGTCTCCAGCTTCTGAAACGGTGCGGTGCATCTCTGCAACTGGGAGGGCTCAGTGCATGGGTGTTTTAGGCAGCGTCTCCTGTGGATGTAAATGATAGCTGTCACAGCAGAAGTGAACGATGTGCTGGAGGGACAGAGTACCCAGAGGCAGCGGGGAGCTGGCGTTTCCCTCTTGAGGACGTCTGTCTGGAGAAAACGCTGTCCGCTTTGCTGAGCGTGGCACTGGCACCGAGGTATTTGCTCATAAATTCATAAAGGAAAATACACTTGTGGTGGGTTGACCCTGGCTGGATGCCAGGTGGCCACCAAAACCGCTCTATCACTCCCCTCCTCAGCTGGACAGGGGAGAGAAAATATAATGAAAGGCTCGTGGGTCAAGATAACGACAGGGAGAGATCACTCAGCAGTTACCATCACGGGCAAAACAAACTCGACTTGGGGAAAATTCATTTAATTTATTACCGATCAAATCAGAGTAGGATAATGAGAAATTAAAAATAAACCTTAAAACACCTTCCCCCAACCCCTCCCTTCTTCCCAGGCTTAACTTCACTCCTAATTTCTCTACCTCCTCCCTCCAGGGCACAGGGGGATGGGGAATGGGGGTTGCAGTCAGTTCATCACAGGTTGTCTCTGCCGCTCCTTCCTCCTCAGGGGGAGGACTCCTCACACTCTTCCCCTGCTCCAGCGTGGGGTCCCTCCTATGGGAGACAGTCCTCCATGAACTTCTGCAACATGGGTCCTTCCCATAGGCTGCAGTTCTTCATGAACTGCTCCAGCGTGGGTCCCTTCCACAGGGTGCAGTCCTTCAGGAACAGACTGCTCCAGTGTGGGTCCCCTGCAGGGTCACAAGCCCTGCCAGCAAACCTGCTCTAGCCTGGGCTCCTCTCTCCATGGGGCCACAGGTCCTGCCAGGAGTCTGCTCCAGCGCAAGCTTCCCACAGGGTCACAGTCTCCTTCGGGCACCCACCTGCTCCAGCATGGGGTCCTCCACGGACTGCAGGTGGATATCTGCTCCACCACAGACCTCCATGGGCTGCAGGAGGACAGCCTGCCTCACCACGGTGTTCACCAGGGGCTGCAGGGGAATCTTTGCTCCGGTGCCTGCAGCACCTCCTCCCCCTTCTTCTTCACTGACCTTGGTGTCTGCAGAGTTGTTCCTCTCACATATTCTCACTCCTCTCTTTGGCTGCAGATGCGCAGGTTTCCTCCCTCCCCCTTAAATACATTATCCCAGAGGTGCTACCACTGTTGCTCATGGACTCAGCCTTGGCCAACAGTGGGTCTGTCTAGGAGCCGGCTGGCATTGGCTCTATCAGCTTCTCACAGAAGCCACCCCTGTAGCCCCTCTGCTACCAAAACCTTGCCACGCAAACCCAATACAACACTGAACAGAAAAATTAATTGCCAGTCGTATATAAAGGCGGAGGTGTCATCAGGCTGTGAGGACTTTGGTGTTCGCAGTAGCTCCTTTCCTTGGGCAGGAGGAGGACTGCTAAGAGCCCTTCCCTTGTCTCTCCCTTGCCCCAATCAGGAGGGGGACCCCAGGCAGAGCTGCTCCTGGGGTACTTCCACGCACCCCTCTTCTCTGGATGCGGTGCACCTTCCTCCCCTGGTTTCAGTCCTTCGTTGGCCACGAGCTGCCTTGCGTGGGCTTGGAGGAGTGGTCAGAACTGTGAGGACAGGGGTGCCGGCACTCCTGTCCTCCCAAAAACGCGGGAAAGTGAATCTGCAGCTTGTTAAAGGCAACTGTTCTTCTGTCTCTTGTGAAGGCGTCCTTAAGGATTACCTGCGAGAGCTACCCTCTCCCCTGATAACCAAGCAGCTCTACGAAGCAGTGTTGGATGCCATGGTGAAAAATCCCTTGAAAATGATGGCAAGTGGTTGTGAAAATGACCCAAGTGACTCTGAGCACACAGCAGCCCTTCTGGATTGCCTGCCAGATGTTGAAAAGGTGAGCAGTGTTAGCAGGTTCAGGTCAATTGAATGCTTCAGAAAATAAAGGAACACTTTCACACTGGATATTAAACATGTCAAAATGTGTCCACCTGTTTCCTGACTTAACAGTCCATTTGGATTTTTAATGCTCTGCATCTTTGAAAATACTTCCATTCCGTGATTAATTGGAGGGTCTGCATTGCTGGATTTATTCTAGTTTGCATTTTATATCGTCTCCATAAAACTGAATGAAAAGCTGTGATCGCTACTTTTACATTGTTAGGTGGGAGATTATTCCCACGTGGTGTCCTGCTCCATTTCTGTGGAGCTCTCTGGTCTGTATGTTATAATTACATGGGCAAATGCTTTCCTCTTTCCTAAGCATATGCAACCAAGCCTTAGTTTCCCATACTTGGCAGTGTAATAATGCTGTGCACCGTTGCCTGCCAAATTCACTTCTTCGAAAACCACAGTTTGCCTGTGGGAGAGAGTGAGTGAGTAGCCTGCACAGTACCTGGAAGTTACCTGGAAGCTTGTTCCCATGCGGAGGGCATACTGAGGGTTTCTTTGTTTTCTAATGTACCTGGATCATCTGTACTGCTTCTGCAGCTTCCCTCCCCTCCCTGATGTCTCCTTTCTGTTGTGAGAAAACTCATCCATGTAAAACTGAGATCAGGTAAGAAACAAGCTCAATTTTACCAGAAAGTCTGTCTTAACTGCTCTGCTCTGTGATAGTCTAATACAGCTTTTCTAACTCAGCACTTAGATGTTCCATTGATGGGTGTTGGTAGAAAAAATATAGCTATCAGCCTTGATCTTATCCATCTGGAGCAGCAGCATTAGGATGTCATCACCACCTTCGTCTAGTGTTTTGTTTCCTGAGCAGTATTTTGTTCTTTTAGGCTACCCTGAAGATGCTGTTGGATCACCTGAAACTGGTGGCTTCTTACCACGAAGTAAATAAGATGACGTGCCAGAATTTAGCTGTATGTTTTGGGCCTGTGTTACTGAGCCAGAGGCAGGAGACCACCAGCCATAATAACAGAGTCTTTACAGACTCAGAGGAGCTTGCCAGTGCCCTGGACTTCAAAAAACACATAGAGGTTCTTCACTATTTACTCCAGCTGTGGCCAGGTACTGTTTCATTAATCTGATCAAGGGAAAACGTCAAACCATTGCTGTATGTTTTTACTGTGTGACAGTGTACATTAATTCACAGGATCACTGAGGAGCATCAGAATTCTTAAAACACGAGGTACTATGGCATCACCTATTAATCTAAAGAAATCATGACAATTTTTAAATCTAGTCTTTGTATTTGGTCACTTTGTGTAATGGGAAGTTTGTTGCTTTGATTGCTTTCTTACCAGATGGCAGAGTTTGAATAGAACGTAAGAAGTGGTGAAGAGTGCTTTATGTGAGTAAAAATACTAGAAAAAACAAACCCAGTGACAGTAAGGTTTCCACATCTGAATTAGGAGGTTTTGGGGGTGTTCTGTTTTTTGTTTTTTATTTTTTTTCCTTCTGCTCTCCTGCTTTGACCATTCAGGATTATCTCTGTATGGAATTCATTAATTGTTTGGTCTCTGAAATACCTGAAGGGTTACTTTATTTTTGTCCTTGTAATTGGCAGAGTTGGGAACATCCTTAGAGTAAGAGCTGTGCAACTTCCAGTTGTTTTTGCAGAGCCTTGCTAAGGAGGAATGTTTTTAGAACAAAACACAACAAAAAAGCCAAACCAAACAAACAATAGAACCCAAACCAAAACACCATAAGTACCTTTTAGCTCCCACTTCCAAACTGAAGAGGTCATATGCTTTCACACAATTTGGGGTCAATCCTCAATAAGAAGGGAGGTGAAATTCTAATCTTCCTAATAAACTACCAAAGTAGACGTGAAGGTAACTGTTTCTGCTAAGATCTACCTTTCAAACTGGAAATGATTGCACAGTGTTCACGTTTCCCCTGGCACTGAGAGGCATAAGCCAGTGGAAATAGTCAGGGTCTGTCGGCGTTGCTTGTGCGGAGCCACAGCCTTCTCTTGCACAAGCGCTGCCCGAAGTCAGGAACGGACGAAGGTATTGCAGCTTTTCAGTTAAAACAGAGAGAGTTGAGGGTAAAATACTGTGAAACAACTTAATATTGGATCTGATGGGTTTAGTTCTGTTTTCAGATAGTCTTTGACCAAGCAGTTGTTGAAAGCTACCTAAGCATGCAGAAGATGGGTCCATTGTGCTGTGGTATCTTCCTTTTTCAGAGTGGTCTGGCTAACGGTGTGGACGACTGATCTGTTTGGTAACCTGAATAATTTAATATCCGCTTCTCAAATTTGAGCAGTGTGAAACCTTTAATTCTCGAGGCTAAGAGAAGATTCAGCTCGTCTAAACAGCTTCTTAACTGTTCCCTTTTAGAACACAATAATCACTCTTGGGAAACTGCTGAATTTCTGCACCAGTTGAAACATGAAATGGAATCACAGTTAATCTAAATGAATAATATGTCTGATTGGGTTTGGTTTTAAATTTATTTTTACTGGAAGAGGAGGATGTCTGCTTTTTATGGGAGACTTGGGGTCACCTGGGAGATGTGGAGGGTCACGAAGGGCCTGACTTGGCAATACTGAATTACGGATGCTGTGGCTGCATTTGAGCCAGCCAGGTGGGCTCTGCTGCTCTGTGTTCAGGATACAAAATATTCCCCAACTCATTTAAAGAGTGTTTGGGAAAAGGCTTTTTTTTTTTTTTTTTTTTTTTTCTGTCTCCTGTCATCTCTCCCCATTGCAAACATTATAAAGAGAAATTGCTGTTCCTAGCTAGGTGGTTCTTGAAGCATTTTGTTCAATCCTGGAGGTCCCAGGAAGGGCTCCTGACATGTAAGCATGGGTTGGCAAAGACCTATATCTGGCAGATTCTATACAATAATTTAAAAAAAAAAAGTGTCTGGATTTGTTGCGTATTCCTAGACATGAGATATAAATGAATGTGTGCTAGCAGACAAAGTGCAGGTTAGGCACATGAATGTGTGGTCTTTGTCTTAGTAGTTCATAACCAAACTATGTAAGATGTATGATCTTGCTGTTAATTAAAGGGGGTTTTGTGATTACAAAAAAAAAGTATAGGAATCTATACTGTATTGTTATTATGCAGGTCATCTTAAACAGTCTCTGCTCTACTTAGCCAGTAATACTTTTTAAGTCTTTATCTAGAGATGTATTTTAAATTTGTAAGGTGGGGGTTTTGGGGTGTTTTTTATTTACTTATTTACTTATTTATTTATTTTAATTATGAGAGAAAGAGTTTTCGGGGAGGGTTTAATCCTTTCTTGGGTAAAACTATGAAGTATCAGGACAAGTAAAGCAAGTGCAAAAGAAGAGAGTTGACTGTAAGCTGACTTGACCAGCACAGCGTAATTGCCAGTGAATACCCCACTGAGGTCTTTCAAGTGCTTGAATGCTTCTTGTGGTATATCAGATACTGATTAGTATAAAGAATATTCTGCGCGAGACAGTGATTTCAGCTATTGTGGGCTACTGCTTCATTCCTCTTACAACAGTTACCACCTGGGGAGCATTGCTAGGCTCCCTCCTGCCACAAACCGTGTTGGTGAGAGCCGCTGCGAGTCACGGCGTGTTGCTGCTGTGCGGGCTGTAGCGGTCAGCGAACCTCTGCGCCTGCCCTTATCTCTTAGCCACGGGAAAGATGAGTTGGGGAAAAAAGTCAACGTGGACAACTAATGTACTGGAGGGGAAAAAAACCCGACAAGTATATTCTCAGTTGTGTTGTCTAATTTTTCCCCCCACTGTAAGTCTGATTTATGATAGTTTGCTTGCATTAGACATCGCTAGCCACTCTGCTCTGACTTCCAGTGGCGTGGGTGAGTTGCTTTCCAGCAGCTTAGGTGCAGGTGCGGAAGGGATGTTACTGGCCGGGCAGCTTGAAGAGCTGCTTGTGGACGATGTAAATGGCAGTGCTTTTTACATTTTTTTCCATACTTTGCTGACCTGATAGTGGCCGTGCCCTGGAGTCAGCTCCAGTGGCAGCTGACCCTGCGGCTGTAACAAGTACACACTGACCACGCTCTGGGTCAGCACCACCGGGAAGCTGCCGGCTGTTGGCTCTGCTCGCTGCAGCCTCACAGAAACCACCTCTGCCTGAAAATAACAGCAAGAGGAGAGGTAATTTGACATATGGTGCAGCTTCATGATAGGCTTGAGGCGACTGAAGACACTTCTTCTCCCTTGTCAACTGCAACTGGGCAGCCCCAAAGCTGCTGACCACCAAAAATGAAAAGAAGCTTTCAGTCAGGTCAGTGAGCCAGCACAGGAGAGGTGGGAAATGTGGGTGGAGGAAGAGGGAGACCAAGAGCTGTTTGGGCAGCAAACACTGTGCAGGAGCTAATCGTGAAATCCTGGGGATAGCTTATGGCATGGCTGCTGTGGGAAACAAAAGCAGGTAGGTGTAGCTCTGCCCATAGGAGTGTGCATTGCTGCAAAGGGGGCAGGAGTCAGGTAGAGTTTTCCTTCGCCTTGAAGAGAAAGCCGAGCGCTATCCCTCAGCTTGCAAGAACTGTGCAGGACGTTGTGCTAAAAGGGAGGTAAAACATGAATGCGAAAGCATGGTGACCGGGTGAACACCATAGAGTGTAAATAGAACAGTTGGACCCGACGGAAGGCTCGCAGTCTGGTCCCTTACATTTAATCTCCTGTAGATTGAGACAGCTTGATAATCAACATGTTGTGCAATACTTCAGTTTCCGTATTTTTCCAACCGCAAACAAATAGTCCTTGTTCGGTTAGACCATGTAATACTGGCAAGTTATTGTTAACCCATGGCCCTTCACCTTAATGGAGTATAGTCTAAACAGAAGGGCTTTTGTTATAGTAAGAGGCGGGGAAAAAAGCAGTAATAGTTATTGCATGTTACTGTGCAAGGAGTAAAGTAAGACTAAAATCCCCTGGAGAGACCTGTAACGCGGCCCCAGAAGGAGAAGCATTGGGCACATCTCGGGACTGAGCCTTCGTGCCTGCGCGCGAGGCGTCTAACGAGGAGCGGGTGAGACTGCGAACCGCAGGGGTTTGCGCGCACCACGTTGTCCACGGTGAATGGGAACAGAAAGTTTCTGCTTCCGATTACAAGAGGTAACGGTCTGTTTAAAACAAAAAGAAGCTTTGCAGCTCAGACATTTAATAGGCACAGGTCAGTAAAAATATTTGTGCTGTTTACCGTAGGAAGCCGGTAACAGTGGAGGAGACTGTTAGTAACTTATGCTGTATAAATCGTGAGCTCAGGTAACATGACCGTCAAACCTGTTTGAGTGTACGTCTGACATGGGGTTGTGGCTGCTTAGAAAAATAATGCATAATGCAAATGAGCTTCTTTTAATAGTGCAGAATACTAGGGCAAAAGAGAAACAGAAGAGCTCAGCTCTTGGAGCATCTTGAGCTTCTCTAGGCGTTTCTCTGTGGTGGTATTTTTGTTGTGTTTTAACCTCTTTTGCTGTGCCTGCTTTCTGTTACTCTTTTAGCCCGGACGAAGCGTGTGAGCTGAGCTGTTTGCTTTTCTTTGACCCAGAGCCAGATGGTGATTAACTCACGCAACGAATTTAATCGGTGCTCTGGGAGTTTCTACTTTTAGATAGGCTTTTCTCCATTGCAGTTTGGATCTGGCATGAACCTTCAAAACTGAGCTTTTACGGTAGTTTTTCTAATTATTTTATATGAAACAGCAGCAGAAAACATAGTAGTGGAATGTGTTGGCTGTAAGCTTGCATGTATTCACGCATGCTGTTAGCGTGTGACGTCAAGGGAGGCGAGTGGGCACCTGTCGTGGACTTCTCTTGTTGTAGCACAGGTTGTTCAGCCCTGACTCTAGTTTAACTTCTCTCTTCTAGTGCGTCACTCACCGGCCAAAGAACCAGCACATCTGAACGCGTTTCCTGAGCATCCATCCTCCCTGAATTACCTGAGGCCCAAGAGGCAGAGACCTCACATGCTGAATTTGAGCGGTACTGAGATGTCTGGGGTACTCAGACCAAGGCCAGCAGGTCTAGACAGCCCGTCGAGCAACCGCTACGCTGGAGACTGGAGTAGTTGTGGGGAGAACTACTTCTTAAATCCAAAAGACTGCCTGAGTGAAGCAGACTACGATGACGTCCCTTCGGAAGACACAGAGAGCGGGGATGACGGCAGCAAAGCCGAGGAGTCGGACGCCCCGGTAAGACACCCGCAGCCCATCCCCAGAGAGCACACGTTTCAGAGCTATTTGGCAATGCAAGCAATAGACTCCGTGGTGGATCACAGAGCAAACCTCAAAGATCTGCAGGAAAGTATCGATACTCTGATAGGAAACCTGGAAAGGGAACTCAACAAAAACAAGCTAAATATGAGTTATTAAATCCTGTCCTGCATGACGCCTCCTCCTAGTGCCTCCGTGCCCCTCGCAGGGCTTCCCACAGCCGTCTGAGGAGTGATGGTGCCCTTGAACACTTTGTGGTAAGGCTGCGGCCCACCTTGCATTAACAAATCTTAAGCCATTCCGTTACATGTCTGCCTTTTTGTTAGAAGGTGTTGGCCTGATTCTGGTGTTGGAGGCAACCTTAGAGACCGTGACATGATTCCACATAGTGGCATTTCTCCCTAAAAATACTATGCACTTAGGCAGTCTGGGCAATACCTGGCAGAAGATAAAGCAACATCTCTGCTGTCGGCGGCAGCAGAACTCCTCATTCCTGAAACCCTAGCTCCGGTACAGATGTTCCTCAGAAGAGGATGAACGCTGCTTGGCCTGAGTTTTGCAGCATGGACTTCAGATAGACTCGTTTTACTATATATGTAATGGCTGCTATGAAAAATGCTTTATATATATATATATAATATTTATATATAAAGTTTTAATTGTACAAATATTAATGTATTCCTTTATTAACACTTTTCAATAATTATTTAAACAAGCAAAAATTAAATATTTTTCTAACCTTGTTTGTATATATGTATGTATAAATGTGCATGTGTCTGTAGCCACCTTTGGAAAGGAGAGGTCTCTCAGAATTATGAAATGTCCTTGTTTCTAGGAGGATGTGTTCAGTGATGCCAGGATGAAGTTACCCCTTGGGTAACACAGCGTTTGATTTACGTGCAGAAACATGGCCAGAGAGAAGGCAGGGTGAATGATTAATACCAATGACCTTGTGTGTTGCAGGGCCATCAGTTTGGAGGTGTTGACTATTAACACTCTCTCTCACACACCCACCACTCTTTCTCTATTTTTTTTTTCCTTCTTTTTTGTTTGTTTTTTACTCCGTGTTTTTTTCATGTCTAAAGAAGGTCTGGAAAGTATTTACTTTTTGAAAAATACTTCTGGTTTGTCCTTGTAACCTGTTACTTTTGATGTTTCAATACTTTTTTTTTTTTCCTCTCTCTAGAATTTCATTTATTTTTGTTGAGGTACCTTTGTCTGGCTGCTGGTAGTTAGATGTGTTTGAGCCCTCTCTGAAGGGCTGTGGCTCTGGAGATGCAAGATTCAAATTCTGCACGAAGGCAGTTACTTTTTTCTCTGAGCCTTTTTTTTTTTTTTTTTTTTTCCTTTTTAAATTAATCTCCCAAAAATGGAAACCTGAATTGTTACATGAGGTTGAACGGGTTGAGTGATGTTACTCCTGGGGAGTTTGGGTGGGACTGCAGTTCACTGTGACCTTCTTAGATTCAGCTATCACCATCTTCTCAGGTCATCTTTTATCTTTAGTCATTTATGGTGAGCAATTAAGCATTTCGTGTTAAGGAAACACATTCTTGGTTTAATTAAAAATAGTTATCGCATACCGATGTTTTGGTAGTCCCTCTAACCAAAAGGAGATACAGAGTCATTCCGTGTCCTTCACAGGTCGCCCCCAGTGAGGAAGGGGGGATTTGGGCTGGTGGGGGCAAGAGGGTTATGTTTTGAGAGGTCAAACACCAAGTCGCTGTCAGCTGGCAGGGTAGAACTTAATTCTCTTCATCTTTTTGGTACAATGTTGGCATCCTGCCATGGCTTTCCATTCACCCTGTGGGTAAGTGCTTTTCTGTTAACCCGTACTTCCTTATATTGCTTAATTGAAGTTATTTATTTACAGTAGCAAGGAACTAGGAATCACTATGGCAAACTTCACCCCTCTTCTAAGGAATTATTTTAGCATGGTTTCAAATGGTTTATTCAATCTCATTAATTTATTTTTTATAAGTGTTAAAAGATGCAAAACAATTATTGCAATATAATGATAATGTATGAAAATGTAAATTTAACCTGAAGCATTTATCAATAAATCGATGTATTTTTTTAAACTTTTATACCTACAGAATGTGCATACTTTTTAAACTATAAATTTAAATTCTAAATAAAATTTGAATTAAGAACAAAATTTGACTAAGCCTAGTTAGTGATTATTTAAACCTGTCTAAGCTGATGCCATCCATTTGTACTGGCTGCACATGTGAATTAATGCCATAAAGACATTTAGCTTTTCAGAAGATGTTTTGTTCTGTTGGCGTTTCTAGATTGACCCAACATTTTGATTACATAATTAAAAAGAAAACCAAACCACTGCTCCATTTAAATCCAACAGGAATAATATTCTAAGGAAATTGTCAAACCAGTCTTCTGGCAGCATTTCTTCTTCTTCTGTTGCAGGATGCCGATGCTTTTGAACGTAGCCTGGCTTCTGCTCTGGGTGTGTAGATGTATTAGCACTAGTTGAAAGATGTTTGCATTTAAAGTTATTTGATAAATGATATATTAAGTTTCCATTGTCTATAATAATCTAGATGATGTCAGTGAGCACCTTTTGAATATGTGTAAGTTTTTCTACGGGAGAGTTCTGTTACTCAGTGCAGCAGTGTGCTGCTCTGTCAACTTTAATATTTTAACCTTAAAACAGGGGAAATCAATGACTTGATAAACTGTATTAATGTTAAGCTAAGCAGTTAATTAAAATATACTAAAGTATTGGTATTGTTCAAATGAAACATTTGCTGATAATCTAGTTAAAATAACTTGTAGAACACATTTTATCTTAGAAATGCTCTTTTAATGAGAGATTTCTCAAGTGGTATTTTTGTTATATGTTGTCCCTTACATATGTTCTTATAGATATTATTATATTTTGTATAATTATTTGTATAATCTGGTCAAGCTGCATCCTTCTTATGATGGTTACAGATTCTTAAGGAACAGGATTAGTGTAGGAATGACCCTATCTAGAAACACTGAATTGGGAGATTAAAGCAATCTGCTTCTACCAAAGTAGTAATGAACATTTTTTTTTTTTTTTTATACAAAAGAGCAGCCTTGGGCTGCGTGGGCTTTGCAGGGCAGAGCTCGTGTCGAACCCCATGGGCACAGCCAGGAGCTTCTCTTACTGTACTAACCTTTGTTCTTGTCTGCTTGGTGTAACTCAGTTTGACTTCAGGAGCAGCTCCTGTTCTGCAGGGGCTCTTACCACTACTAGAAGAGGTTAAAAGCGGAGGGCAGAGCCTGCAGTCGAGTTCAGAGAGCAGATGGCCTTGGAGTGTATGGACTTCCTTCGGGCATGACCTCCGCTTCCCAGGTAAAGAAAATGGACGCAGATGCTCTTACAGAAACAGTTCCAAGACTTGCACCAAAACTGCATGCAAATTGTTATACCCAGGTATGGGCCAGTGATGGCCACGTGCTGGGCTGGGTAGCAACCAAGAATCGTAGGTCGTGGTCCCCAGGGAAAAGCAGAAATGCGTCTGTAGGTCTGTGCAACTCTTTGCTGCCAAGTGTTAAGGTTATGATATGCTTAGGTGAGTTCAGGAATGGACTAGGCCCATTCGTAGCATTCTAATCCATTGCTGTTTGTTTAAACAGGGTTGCCCAAATGCTGCTTGGGCTGTGTGGCTGATCCAGCTGACACTGAGTCGCTTCTCCCCCTTTTTCAGCTTCCCAGGGTGGCTCATTACAGGAGTGTGCAAAAGATGGGTAGGGATGGTGTGGGATGTGGAGTAGACGGGGTGGCAGCGTGACCTTGGGCTGGTTTAAGCCACTGGGGACCTACATCCTCAGAAACTTCAGATCTTTAGCTCTGTCTTTCCCAAATGTGTAACGTATGTGTATTATTAATTAATGCGCCAGGCAAGAAATGTTGCTGCAGCTATTCAGACGTGTTCTAAAAATAGAGGGAAACATCCCCAACAGAAGTAGATATTCAGGGTTTTTACAGAATAAATCTATAAATCTGATAAGCTAGACACACATCTGCTATTTCTGCTGCCAGATCTTAATCCCTTCACCTTCCTCCCCATCTCAAGGTATAGGTTTTTCTTAACAGTAAAAATGTATTTTGATATAAGAAGTCTTTATCTCAAATTCTGGAGCCAGCAACAGTTGAAAGATGGTTATTTGGGGTGGGGGAGAACTGGCATTACATTTCAGTGTAACTATTGAACAGAATCATAGAATCATTAAGGTTGGAAAAGACCTTTATGATCATCAAGTCCAACCGTTACCCTAGCACTGCCAAGTCCACCACTAAACCATGTCCCTAAGCACCACATCTACCCGTCTTTTAAATACCTCCAGGGATGCGGACTCAACCACTTCCCTGGGCAGCCTGTTCCAGGGCCTGACAGCCCTTTCGGTGAAGAAGTTTTTCCTAATATCCAACCTAAACTTCCCCTGGCGCAGCTTGAGGCCGTTTCCTCTTGTCCTATTGCTTGTTACTAGGGAGAAGAGACCGACCCCCACCTGGCTACAGCCTCCTTTCAGGTAGTTGGAGAGAGCAATAAGGTCTCCCCTCAGCCTCCTCTTCTCCAGGCTAAACAACCCCACTTCTCTCAGCTGCTCCTGATAAGACTTGTGCTCTAGACCCATCACCAACTTCACTGCCCTTCTCTGGACACGTTCCAGCACCTCGGTGTCCTTCTTGTAGTGAGGGGCCCAAAACTGAACACAGTACTCGAGGTGCGGCCTCACCAGTGCCGAGTACAGGGGGACGATCACGTCCCTACTCCTGCTGGCCGCGCTATTGTTGATACAAGCCAGGATGCTACTGGCCCTCTTGCCCACCTGGGCACACTGCTGGCTCGTATTCAGCCAGCTGTTGACCAACACCCCCAGGTCCTTTTCCGCTGGGCAGCTCTCCAGCCCCTCCTCCCCCAGGCTGTAGCGTTGCATGGGGTTGTTGTGACCCAAGTGCAGGACCTGGCACTTGGCCTTGTTGAACCTCATACAGTTGGCCCCGGCCCATCGATCCAGCCCGTCCAGATCCCTCTGTAGAGCCTTCCTACCCTCCAGCAGGTCAACATCAACTGTGATGCATTTGTTTGGAAATGTCATCCTACACAATGAATTAACTGTTTTCCTTCTGTTTGACTTTTTGAGCCATGCAGGAAACTCAATAA